TTTAATGTTAAAGATATGTTCTCATCCTCTTTATCAGTATAGGTTTTTGCTTTAGGTTATATGAATAATTCAAATTAGTTCGTACATTTAAAATAAGATTTAAAAGACATTTTAGAAGTTGTTAATGAATTCTATACTATCACCAAAGCTGCTATCAATAAATCAAAATCACAATTATTAATGAATACAGTCACAATACAATAACTAATACCCATCAGATTTGGATCTAACATAGTGGATATCAAACTAGAACTTAGTTCCGTTCAGTTTCTAAGAGTTTGGATTAATATATTTAACTCAAAAAACTTTATTAAAAGATAGACCAGAGACACCATTACCAAATTCACTACAATCCTTAAATCAAAACTACTTACAGATAAACAACTTATCTACATCCTCAACATGGTATTCTTTTCACTATTAGAATATTGCTTATAGACTATCCCGCTGTTCTTTAATAAATGTAATAAAATTTTTGCTCTATTAAGATGGATTGTTAAACACAATTCATCAATAACCTCAACTACTTCTGACTGCTTGTTCAAAGATAGCATTTTTTATAACCTAAATGATCTGTGAATACAACAACTGAAATCATATACTACTGCGCTCCTTTATCAATTTAATTCAAAATCAATATACAAATATATTTTAACAATTAAATTATTCTAATTATAATCTTAACACTCCTTATACGACTCTACTCTACAACATTGAAACAAAAAATTTAATGCTAAATTTAACAGAAATATTATTGGTATCACATTGAGTTTACTGAATTATGAGAATATCAGTACCTCTCTAACTATAAATTCATATTTAGCTAACAATATCAAAGGCAGCTCTTTACCCTTAAATCTCATATTCAATATAAATGAGCTAAAAAAATATAGTATTATTCTCAATAAATATTCACTAATATTTATTGATCAGTTCTTGGATATCAATGGATTTCATCTGTTAAATTGAAGAAAAATTACTAAAAGAAATATATATAATCACATACCTATCGCTCATACGCTTAAACTATATTATATAGTAAAAAGAAAATTTTAGATAGTTTGAATAGTAGATTAGTAAATATTTCTTATAAATTAGATAGTTTAAATAATAGTTACATAGATAGTCCTAGTGTAGAGATTAGATTAGATGATTTAAAAAAAGAATTCGTGACTATTCACTATTTTGTTATGAATGTGACTATCATCAGAAGGATCCTTAGAAAAATGAAGCATCAAATAACATTCTTATTTAACACTTTATTAAGGCTGATCCTTATACAGATATTAATCAAAATTATAATAATAGATCAATTATTCAATGCCTGAGATATAATTTTAATGATATAAACTTCTGCAAAAAACCATTCAATCATTTGAGAAAAATCTTTGAAAGACCTATTACTTACACAACCTATATTAAAGGCTATAATGTTCTCACCGCAGTAGCCGTTGAAAGAATTTGTATACCTTACTCACTTAAAAAAATATTACTCATAATGAAATAAACTCCTGAAAATTATATTATATCTTATCATTATCAGTTACTAAGAAAAGATACTTTCAGAAAATCTATACCGTTTATAACAGACCATTTGAATAATAGATATATTAATTGCCTAACTCAGTCATTAAATGATATGCTCATCAGAAAATGTATAAAGGATATCTCATATCAGGATGAGCTCATTAATATATCTCTTTCATGTAAGGATCTCATTGCACCTTATTTTTACATTGATGATTCTCTTTCTAATCCAACTTCAGAAGAGTGCAAAATGGAACTAGAATGGATTTGCTCAGATTTATCATACAACTATTCAAATTCTTTTAATGCTGCTATATTACATCACCTATCGTCTACTAGAGCTCAACTTTTTGCCTTTCTTATTGCCCTAATCATTTGTCTAAGACTCTCTTCACCAATAATATATTTGGATAGCTAAGCTATTATTGACGATTATTACAATTTTATCTTAATCATAATTATATAATAAGGATACGTAAAAAAGTATTTAACTATATTATTTGGGTTTTAGTCCATCATATAATCAACAAACTAAAACTTTCTATCAAGCTGATTAAAGTAAAAGGTCATTCAGGAGATCATTATAATGATATTGCTAATAACTTAGCAAAGGCTGGATGCTTTAAACTGCCTTTAATACTTGATCTTACAACTTGTGATGATATACAGCTCCTTCTTAACTTCAATCAAATCCTTGTAGAATCTTCAACTAGAAAATTCTGAAAAAACCTGAATGCAGCAAAACAATTCTTTACATTTATGAACCTCAATAGAAATTCCCAATTAATCCAATATACCTGATTATCGGACATTCATTGGTTTACATCTTTCTCTGTTTTCTTTTCAAATATGGGAGACACTTCCGCTGCTACCTCTTTTATTCAAAGACGAATAAAAGGCTTTAAGTTAAAATCCTTAATTGACAAATTATCCATGATAGATAAACTTTTAGTAAGACGCTCAGATTTGTATAAAATTAGCTATGTATCTATTATTTATCAGTCAAAAAAGACTATCATCATTTGTGAATATGTTCTCATAAAACTTAGGAGATAATAGATATATGTTCATCTACTGGTGCTTTTCTTAACAAGTTGATTCTAGACAAAATTGGAAAAAATAAAAACATACTTAACTTTTATCTATCCATCAAAAATCAGCTCATGAACTTTGTGGATCCCTCACTTAACATCACTGCTTATATACATTTGTCTAAAGGAATTATTCCCAAACAGATGTTAATAATTCTTAAGAAAATATTCTCTCCTTCTAACTCCCAATGCATTTTAGTGAACATATCCAACTTCCTCACTAGTTCATTTCATGATGACATTTGGGCTCCCAGATGTAAGAGAATGATCTAAGAAGAGAGAAAAATGGGAATCTCTATGAGATTAAAAAAGAAAAAAGTCAATATTAAACGTCTAACACCTATGAAAATTCCAAAAAATTTATCAAATGATTGGATTACTTGGATTACTTCAGCATTGAAATTTGGTTTCTCTTGATTCGACTTTATAGATAGGTACTGACAATTTCATTTGAATGTCTTGTTGATGACTTAATCATTAGATATGGATCTTTTGGTTCTTTCTGAGGGATGTTCCGGTGATTGGTCAATCCAAACGGATTTGTAACAGAATCACGGGGGATAGTCTTAGTTTAATTTTTTTATTGTTTTTACTTTAAAAATAGTTTTATTTTCTTTTTTATTTTGTAATATTATAACATAAATATAATAAACTTAAGACAGTATCACATCGTTAAAAAAAAACAAAAAAAATTTTAAGTAATATGTTATTGATAAAAATTATTTGCAACTCCGTGTAAATTAAAATATTCAATTTTTAAATCAAAATATTTTTTTAATTATTTTTTTAATTTAATTATTTTTTTCAGATATATATATTTTTTTTGATTCCCAATCTTTTTTAATTTTTAATATTCACAATTTTTTTAATTAATTATTTTAGTTTTTAATTTTCTTATATTTTTAATCCTTGCGAGTTGTTTTAATTTAATTTAATTTAATTTTAATATTCACTACGCCACAAATTTTATAATCGATTAATTAAATCAAATCTTAGAATCGAATCTTGAGAAATGATAATCGCGATTAAATCAATTGTTAAATCAATTTTAAATATTTAAATTGATTTTAATCCCTACTATTAACAACTGTAGTATTTCCACCATTTAAAATTACATTAAGAGAACTACATGAAAAACACGCAGAAGTGGGCATTGTGGGCACATCAACATTCTCTCTGCTTTTGTAAGTCATTTCTACGAATTCATTGGAATCTTATCACAAAGATCATCATCTCTGACATATGATTTAATTGAAAGAATCCTGATAGATATTGGAGAGTTGAAGAGATGGGGATGTTGTAAGAACAGAGGCTTTTATCTCTATGTTCGAAACCTCTTTAAATCCAATTATTTTGCAATTTAACACTTTAAAGATTTTTGAAATTGAATTGGAGACAAAAATTAACATTTCGAAAATATAATTACAAAGTAACATAATTCAACATTTAGAAAAAAAATCAATTAAAAAAAAGAAAATTATTATAATATACTCCGTTTCATTATGTGCACCTTAAATTTATCACTTAAAATTTCACTTAATTATATTATAATCTACTCCATGATTTACTTATCATTATATATAAACTATCTTTTTAACCAATCATCATCATCAAAATCATGTGACTCTGGCCCGCTTTAACATTTGGTAACAAATAAATCACGAGACAATACGTTATATAATCGAATATCATTACTAATTTTTTTAACCGTTCGTCTTTCTTGTAAAAACGAAAACTTGTATATTTTATTAGTTTTAGTGACGATTATTTAATTAAGTATATAATGGTTGAAGACGAAGGTAGTAAGTTTGTATAAAAGGTTTCTCTCGTAATAGATCTGCTTAAAAAATTTAAGCGAAAAATTAATACTCTCCAAATTCAAATTTTTTGATCTGTTTACGAAATTTTATTTTATTTTTATTTTTATTTTTTAACTTTTATTTAGATGTTTGTCGCGTTTGTCGTAGTGAAGGCACTGAAGACCAACCGTTATACCATCCATGTAAATGCTCTGGAAGTATTAGATTTGTACACCAAGATTGGTAACGTCTTATTTATTTCGAAGATTTGATTTTAACATTTCAATTTTTTTAAGTATTTATATAAATTCTATTTATTTTAATAGTTTGACGGAATGGCTTAGACATAGCAAGAAAAAGTGCGCAAATTTATTTTATTTGTAATTGTCCTTTTTGAATATTCATTATTTATTAATAATTTAATTATAGATATTGTGAAGTGTGCAAATATCCTTTTTCATTCACACCAAGTATGTATTATTATATATTATATCAAATCCTATTACTAACAAATTAAATTATTGCTAGGGTTTAATTAATAAAATATCCAATTTATTCTTAATCATTAGTTTACGATCCAAGCATGCCAGACACTATTCCCATTGTGTTATTCCTTCGACGTGGTATACGACGCCTATATGGGCTCATACAAATATGGTTCCGTGCACTCCTTGTAGGAATTGTATGGTTGGTAGCGTTACCTTGGGTTACTGTATGGATATGGAGAGCCTATTTCTTGAGTGGGGAGTTTCTTGCTTTTTTGATTAACGGACAAAAGCCTCCCACTAGAACTTCAGATAATAATACAGAATCTGGAGAAAAGAGTGGACTTAGTATAATATATTTGGGATTACTTAAGGGATTTATTTGGTATGTTCCTCCAGAAGCAGTAGCATTTGTAGAATATTATGGTGATTTGGCCAGGTTGGTTTTCATTTATATTTCGATAATTATTTCAATTCGGCCATATCTTAATCGTTATATTCTAATATACTATTACAGCAAAGTATTATCAGATACATTTGAAGGACAAATTATTACATGTGTTGTAGTAATAGTTTTTGTAGCGGCATTCTTATTAAGAGAGTGGATAGTTCAGAATACGCCAGCTGCAAATGAAAATAATAATGTTAACGAGCAAATAAACGATGAGCCCGCAAACGAAAGAAATGATAATAACGATAACAATGCGATCGTGTTACCTAATCTTCAAGTTTTACCAGAAGTCGAACAAATACCAGTACAACCATTGGGAAATAATGAAGAACCTCAAATTCCAAACTTAAACGAAGGAGCTTTTGTATTTCAAAACGGACATCGTCTACCATTAATTCAACAAGAACCACAATTTCCAACCGATCCTGCTTTGCAAGAACCAATTCAACGACAAAATGTTCAAGCATTAATGAATTTACATCGTTATGTAGAAGAACGAAATAAAGAAGACAATATTGATCGACTATTAATAGAAGATCATACAATTGTTCAGGAAGATCAATTTGAATCGAAAATTATAGATTCGAAATTAGATGATTCAATTGATGATATAGGATCAAGTTCTACTTATAATAAAGAACATTCTCCATTAGATTCAGAATTAAATGTTAGAAATCTTAACATAGACGATCAAAAACCTTCCATGTATGTCCCATATGTAGATGATTCTAAAGCTTCGATTGGCACTATTATGGGTGATGCGAATAATGAAAATTCTAAAGGAAAAAATATTGAAACAAATGATTCCACAATGATTTTCCCGGAATCAAATGATCCTCCTTCCTCAACAGAATTGCAGTGTGAATCTATAAAGGATCAAAATTCTTTGCAATTTAGAATTAGTAATTCTGTCTCTGATAAAAATAAGAAAGGTACAAACGATTTGATCGCAGCATCATCCTCATCCTCATCAGGTGTTGCAGTTCGGCAAGGACAATCTTCAAACGCAAAACCATTCCTTGATAATTTTGTAGAAGATAGAAGAATTCGCCCTATCAGACAAGTAAGAACACGAATGGCAGTTCCTATGTCGTCTGATGCCTCTTCCAATGTAATGAGGCAATTATCAACTTCTTCACAAGAAGATTTTGATGAATTATCTCTTGGTGGTTCTTTTATGAATATCGATTACTCTGAAATTTCAAGTAAAGAACAATTAGATGATGGCGATGCCGACTATGATGATTATGATGAGACACTTGAAGTTACAGATAGCGATCAAGAAAACGAAGACATAAATTTACAAGAAAAATATCCACGTGACATTAATAACACTTATAGTCCATCCAAAATAATAACAAATACTAGTGGTGTTTATTTTGCTGATGATTCAAGTTCTTTTGCTGTGCATCGTAATTCTAATGCTAATTTACAAGGTTACGGTGATCAGTTTGAAAAAAATGATGAGAATGATTTGTTAGATTTTGATGAAACGGACATTGAAGAGCGATATGATGAGGATGATGATGATGAGGAGGAGGATGAAGGTGAAAATGAATCTGATGATAATGATAATCCTCTTGAAAATGAAGAAGAACCTGCTGAAGAAATAAATGGTACAAAATATTAAATATTATATATCACATTTAAATAATGTAACTAAATTAATAATCTTATATAAATTTTTTATAGTGGAAGAACCTAATGCGAATAATGCTGATGCTCCAGCTTTACCTGCCATACCTGCGCCTATTTTTAATGAAGCAATCGAGCCTCCCGCCGTTGATCAAGGATTTATAGAAGCTGATGATGATGATGATGAAAATGTTGCTAATGAAGACCTCGAAGGTGTTTTGGAAGCCATTGGAATGAGAGGATCTTTATGGATGCTAGCTCAGAACTCTGTGTTGATGATAATTTTGATCGCATTATGTTTAGCTGGCTCTATTTGGGTGCCATTCTTTGTCGGAAAAACTGTTTTATTGGTACTTTATTTACCTTTTTATATGTTGAGTTTCTAATTAATTTTATTAATTTTTATTGAAATATTTTTATATATATTCCTTAGATTAAACCTTTGAATATTATACAACTCCCGTTAAAATTATTACGTAAAGTAACGGACCCAGTTGTAGATCTCGTTATTGATACAGGTATCCCATGGTTATGGTCACTTGTATTTCCACTATTAAAATCTGGTTGGAGCGCGACTAGCCCTCAGATTTCACAAATTTTTGAAGATTCTATATTTGTAAATTATATGCAAGGCATTTCCGATAAAACAGAAGATCTGTTGGGATATGCTGCTACTTTTGTTGCCAAGATCGATCCTCCAGAATCAGTTATTGTTGTGAACTCAACCATTAGCGGTGTTAATCAATTTTCAGAATTCTTAAAAGCAAGAAATTTAACGTGGCTTGTAACAATTATTGATCGTTGGAATGGTTTTGCCTATGGTAACGCACCAACAGATAAGATCGTATGCATTCTTTGTGGATATACAGTCATCATTGTTCTATGTGCTTATTATTTGGCAAAAACAAGAAACGCATATGGTGCTACCGTGGGTCGTGCTGTGCAAGAGGGATTACGACAACAAGGCATAGTTTTAAAGGTATGATGGAACTTATGAATGATCTGAATCTTGAATATATTATTAAATATAGTAATATTTTTCTATTTAGGTCGCCTTTTTTGTCGCAATCGAATTAATTATTTTTCCGATCATATGTGGTATCTTATTGGACCTTTCTACATTACCGCTATTCGCGGAAGCCACGCCAACATCACGGCTAGAGTTTTATTTTGAATCACCTATTACGTCAACTTTCCTTCATTGGTTTACTGGTACTGCATTTATGTTCCATTTTGCCGTGTTCGTATCTCTATGTCGAGAAATTGTACGATCTGGTGTTATGTGGTTTATTCGAGACCCGAATGACCCACAATTTCATCCGATAAAGGAAATTTTAGATAGACCTGTTTGGACTCAACTCAAAAAAATCGGTGCAAGTGGCATCATGTATAGTGCAATGATTGTTTGTGGTTTAGGGAGTGTTATTTACTTTATTCGGTATTGTTTTAATGGTATATTACCATTACAATTATCGTTCACGTATGTATTATATATTCGATTTTATAAATTTGTTTTATATAGATATTTTTAAAAAAAAATCCTTTCTTTGTATAGGGAACCAATTTCTGATTTTCCTGCCGATCTTCTTGTATTTCACATCGTTGTTCCTGTAACTGTCACTTGGGCCAAGCCAAAACGGTTGTTCCGTAAATTATTTGAAAATTGGTGGAAAGTTACCTCCCGCACTTTACGATTGACTTCTTTTATGTTTGGAGATCGTCATTTTGATGAGGAAGGTACACATGTGCGCAGAACATGGGGTGCTTCTTTACGTCGTCTGAAAGCCCGAATTCCTAACCCGGGTGACAACATTATTAATGAATATGCAGAGGTTGTTTTTGTGAAAGATGGTGAACTCGTCCGTGCACCTAGTTACGATGGTGTACCTGTTGTTCCTGGTCGAAGAATGCTCATACCTGTAAATGAGGATGGCACGTTAAAAAATCCCGATGATGCACCAGTTGGTCAGGATGATCAATTAAACTACACAATCGTTTATATTCCGCCTAATTTTAAAGCAAGAGTTATTACATTTTTATTCCTTATGTGGTTCTGTGGTTCTTTATTCTGTTGTTCAGTTACTATTTTACCACGTAAGTGCTTTTTTTTTTTTTTAAAAAAAAAAAAAAATACTTTTTTGAGATTGTTGAGATCGATATTAGGATAAATCTGATAATTACTTTTTTTTATTTACTTAAAGTTTTGACGGGTCGTTATATCTTTAAATCTATCCTACACCATCAACGTGCAGTTCATGATTTATACGCATTTACAGTAGGACTTTATGTATTATGGGCATTATACATTTCTCTTGAATGGGTTATTAGTAAAATTCAGGCGATTGCCGGACAAGATCTCAATATTGATTGGGCTATGGTTCGACAAAAAATGTGGCAAGGGACAATTGTAATCGCAAAGATCTTGTACTTTATTTTATCATTCGGAATAATTATCCCATTCCTTCTATCATTAGTCACTGAACTATACATAATTTTACCCTGGAAAAAATTAACCACCGATATTCCAATCATTTCTTTTTTGCAGGTAAGTTATTATTATGATACGATCACTTTTTATTTTTGTATTATAATAATGTGTTATTTGTAAATAGGATTGGGCTTTAGGCATCGTTTATATGAAAATTGCATACCGTATTGTTTTTATGCTGCCTGATAATATTTATAGTAGAGCTATCAACGATGTAAGATTTATTTATTTTTCATTATTGCGTACATATAAATATGTTGTTGACTTTATACTTATTTTCTACAATAGATAACTGAACGAGGCTTTAGAGATTTGAACGTCAAATTGGCAACAACAGTATTTATTATTCCTATAGGAGGTTCTGCATTAGCAGCTGTGATTCTACCAGCATTAACAGCTTGGTTGATAATATCTGCGGCTGGTATGATTATTAATATTTGTCATCATTTAAAATTAGTTCATAATCCAGCATATATTAAAAATAGAATTACTTCTCAATTAACAGGTATTTCTAATGCAAACAGTATAGCTCTTTTAATTCGCTATATTTATCCAGTGTTTTTGGCGATAGTACTTGGTTATCGTGTTCAAAGACAAATGGGACAATTAGTACACAGCTGGATGCAAGCTGTTCGTGATGAAGAATATTTGATAGGGCGTAGATTACATAATATTGATCCAAATGAACGTGGAAATACTAATGTTATAATAAGGGGACAGTAATTATTATTAACATAGATTTTTTATTTACATCGGCTTATTTTAGCCACAAAAGAAAAAAAAACTAATAATGCATACAATGCCAATATATGGCATGTCTCTACATTTGTATAAAAACTTTCAATAAAATAATAATTTTTACTTTAATGATAAAATAATAAAACGTTACTCATTTTACAATAAGTCGATGTCGATTGATTGCTGATCATTTAATTATCATGTGCAAATTTTATGGCATTATTTTTCATTACGAATAATCAACACAGAGCAGCTGAGGATCTGTTAAAAATAGTTTTCTTGGCAAAATCAAAAAGAGCCGCCAAGAAAAGTGAATGTGATCACGTGATAAATTGCAAATATCTAAGGGGTTACACTTACAAATGATATCATTATAGTAAAACCTAAAAAAAGAATTTGAATTTACAATATTTATATGAAAAACATTTCTAGAAATACATAATAATACTTTGTCCCGATGAATTAAGCCTTAATAAGAAGCGAGTAAAATACGCGACGCCAATTAAAGATAGATTGTAAAAGCTCATTTCTAAACGGTTCAATACAAAATCCATTTGCGTTTAATGATTAAATCATAGAAAATTCTAAAATTGTACCAACCATATTACCATTTTATATTTCATTCATTTTCATTTTGTATATATATAGTTAATAACAACGCAAATTTCGCAAAAAAAAAAAAAAAAAAAAATTAAAATTTTAAATATCAACTACCTTACCACCTTATTTTTGACCATAAAAAAAAAAAAATTAAATATGGGAGATCAATATGACAAAGGACAATATCCAGGTGGATATCCACAAGGACCATATTCCCAGCCACAATATCCTCCTCAAGGTTATCCACCTTCTCAAAACTCTAGTTATTACGGAAATAATGGAAATTATAATCCACAGCCACCAATGCAACAAGGTAAATTTTGGTTAAATTAAAAATTGATATATAAAACGTTGCTCATTTTTATTATTCGTTAGGCTATTATCCTACACCACAACCTCAAACTGTAATAGTCCAACAAGTACCCGAAAAAAACGATAATAAAGGATTATGTTTAGGATTGTAAGGAATTAATTTTTTTTTTTTTTAATTTAAAATTATGAAATTTAAATGTTCACATTTTTTTCTCTAGTGCTCTTGGGGCTTGTTTATGCTGTTGTTGTGACGCATGTTGTTAAAAATATATATATACATAAATATATAAATATATATATAGAGGTTTTCTTAAAATTCCGATCGTTTTTAACCTTTGGTATTTACGATAAATTTTGTTTGATAAACTTTTATTTTCTTTTTTGTATATTGTAAAACAATCTCATCAATTTTAATTAAAAAAAAATATATATTCCTATTAATTAATGAATATATTTATCACAAATTTCTTTCAAAGCTTTGGCAGATTGTTGTAATCTCGCTTTTTCATCAGAACTTAAATGCACTTCAATAATCCTTTCAACTCCGTTACCTCCCAACACAACAGGCATACTCAATACACATCCATATTCTTCAACAAACGTACTCAAAGGTCTAACATGTCTTTGATTAAGAATAATACATTGAACTAACATTGAAACACACCCTGCGATCCCGAAATAGGTCGCACCTTTTAATTTTATGATTTCATAGGCCTTTCCAGAGATTTCCTTTGCAATTGCATCTTTATCTATGGCTTTGATCTCTGGAAAATCTAACAATGGTTTGCCACCAACATGACCTGAAGACCATGCAATGAATTGTGAATCACCATGTTCACCTAGTACATAACAATGAATTGCATTTTCTGCAACCTAATTTAATGATACTTTTTAGAGTGATTTAAAAAGATTTCTGTAGTAACATGAAAAAAAAAAATAAAAACACGTTACCCCGATCAACGATGCTAATTTGAGTCTTAACCTAGCCGAATCTAAAAATGTACCAGATCCAAATACTTGATTTTTTGGCAAACCGGAAAGTTTTTGAGCAATATATGTTAATACATCGACCTATTTTTTTTTTTTTTAAAAAAAAAAAAGATAAATAAATAAATAATATTGTTATTTTTAAATAACTGTTTAAAAAATTTATTTTATTTTATTTTATTTTTTTTTTTACTTACTGGGTTAGCAACCAACAATAAAATAGCATGTGGTTTTATTGGTTTCATTGATCCGATGACATTATCCAGGATTTTATAATTTCTCGCTATTAACTGTATAAGAAGAAATCGAGGTGATTTGCAGCAATTCTACACCCCTGTGATATATAACGGGGGACCCGATTTCAAAAATTACCTCGACTCTAGTTTCACCAGGCTTTTGTTTTGCGCCTGCAGTAATGATGATGATGTCGCATTGACCAGCCTCTTGAAAAGTTCCACCACGAGTTTGAGTGGAAGTGATAAAATCCGCGTCTGACAGATCAAGAACTTGACCTTGTACGGTTTCTTCAACAATATCTACTAAAATGATTTCAGAAGATACCTTTTGAAGAAGCAAAGCAAAAGCTATTGTCGCTCCAACAGAACCTGCTCCAATTATAGCTACACGAGATCTTTGTACCATTGCGCTAGATATATTAATGATATATATAGAAGCTTGTAATAATTATTACGGATAAATAACGAAGAATAAAAAAAATCATAGAGATGGTAAAAAGGGCATCTTTATATAGTTTCTGCATTAATTAATCTAAACATATTTACATTTCTGTATAAATAAACGTAATAAAGATTGATAATCTTTATCATGACTTTTTTTTTGGCGTATGATTTTATGAGCTGATTATTTAAAACTAACCTTTATCCATTGATTACAACAAAGTCAGATTTTCATTGCACATTTATGTCATTTATACATAATAAGAATGATGAGAAACAAAAATTATGGTATGACGAAACCGTAATATAATGAATATGAAAATTTCACCATTAAAAACCATTTCACAGTTCTAGTAAAATAATTATATTTTATTTTAGGTTAGATTTATATTTTAAATAATATAATTCCTATTGAATAACAATCAAATAAATAATTGATTTATTAAGATTATTTTTATCTGTCTTTTATCTTTTAAACTTTTACAATCAACTTTCTCTAAATACATTCTCTCTAAATGTATACACTATATATTGCTCTCTAATCATGCTTTTATCCAGTCCCAAGTATATAGAAATCATATAGAAATCTTTTTTAAATGCATATCCTCTAAAATACATAATTTTTAAAATTTTACTATGGATCCCAAGGAGTGCATTTAGAAAAAGTTGACTGTTTTTACCTTTATTTTACTTATAATTTAAATTTAAAAGGATCATTATAATATTTCTTTTAGTTAAAATGACTTAATTATATTTTTTAGTTACATAATAACCTTATATATAATTTTTAATTATATCTTATTACTATAAAAACTTATATTTAATTTGTAATATTTTATTAGTAAAGATATTTTAAATAAATTAGTAAAGAAGAATAATTTTATATTTATTAATAAATACTGATTTAAACTTTTTAATACCAATTATATATAATAAAAATAATTATAATAAGATCTATTGATTATTTTTTATATAAATATAGATTTATTAGACATGATTTTATTTTTTAATATAATCAGTTTTATCATAAGATATTTTTAAATTTATAACTATAAATCAAATCTTAAAACTTTCTTTTAAAATTATTAAATTTATTAACGTTAAGAAATACATTTGCAATTTTTTTTTATTTTAAATTAATTTTTTAAATTTTTCAAACTTATATAAAAAAATAAATATTATATCTTTTTTATATAAAATTTAATTATTAATTCAATATTATATTTCAAAACTTTTAATATTAATAATGTAAAAAATTTTTTAATTTCTGAAAATTCACTTTGATTTGTCTTTTAATTTAAGTTTTAAATATTAAAAATTAATTTTAAATTATTTTTATGATTTTTTAATATATCTTTAATATGTTTTTTACTAATTTTATATAAGAAAATCAGATTCTAATAAATTTTATTTTATATATTTTATTATCTCTTTATTTTTTATAAATTAAAATATTTTATATTTTAAATAAGTATTAAAAATAAAAATCTAAAACTAATTTATATAAATTTATATTCTAATTTATATAATTGTATAATTTAACTTAATAAAAATTATTTATAAATAGATATTAATTTTGCAATAATATTTAATAGTTTATTCTTGAATTTTTAGCTTTATGTTGATTATTTTTGTAAAAAATTATAAAGAGGAAAAATTATATGATAAAATAAAACTTTTATATAAAAATTATATTTTTAAATATAGAATCAATTATAATCTATTAATATAATAAAAAGTTTATATATAATAATCACATTTAGTTTAACTATATAAATTGCTTTATTCTATTATATTACTTTAATTTTTTTGCATATGTTTATGCTCTGATTAATCTATTTATTATTATATATCACATATTTATCTATATCATAATTTTATGTATTTTCTTTTTCAAAATTTATTGAATAAGATATATTATGATATTATTCTCTATGATTTTGTTACTTTTTCTCTTTCTTTTAAAATTTATTATTTTTTACTATTATAAATGTTATATTTTTTTAATTTACAAAGCTTGATTTTTTAATAAATGTAGTTGTGCTTATATAATATATTTAATAAAATATGATTTAAAATTTTTATGATATTGTTCAATTAAAATTTTTACTTACATCCTTTTTTCTATATTTTCCTTATGTACTGAAAAAAAATAAATCAAATCTGCATCTATTGTAATGCTAAGTTTTAAAAAAAAAATAATAATAGCTTTCTTACATTTTTTATATTTTGATTTATTATGCATATGGTAAAATTCATTTAATTAAACTATCTTCTTATTTATTGAATTTTTATATTTTGTTTGAATCTGATGTATTCATTTTTACAAAAATATTATATATTATAATAATATTTTGCTATATATATTATTTAATATAAATATAAATACAATCTCAGGCTAAGATATTTTTGATTTTTGTATTTATGTTAAGTTTATCATTATATTAGTATATTGCTGCTAAAAGAAAGTCTTCAACTATATTTGTCCAATTATATATATATGATTTTATTTATGAGAATACATATTATCATAATGCTATTTATATGATCTGCTAAACATATTAGATAAATGCAATCTGTATATTTAGAATTTTTATTGTATAAAAAATCTTATTCAAATAAATATATCTGATAAACTTTTTATGATTATTTATGCTAATTAAATATAAGATCTATATTATTATAATATTTTCTTTTGAAGTTACTGTAATTATTATAGGTAATAATCATAAGTTATATATTGCTGATTGTGATATTATTTTTAGATTATATTATGAAAGCCTATAAAGATTTTCTGAAACCTATTTATCTTATAATCTCTTTCATTATATATTATTATTTTTATAAAATATAAAGATTAGTATATAAATATATTTATTATAAGTTTTATTAAAAGAAAAAGAAGTATAATAATACAATTCTATTCTTACAGGTTACAGATTAAAGATAGTAATTTATTTCAGAATGCTGTCATTTTTATCATAATATATTGTTGATTAATATGTTAAGATAGAACAAAATCAGTTAAATTACTTTAAATATAATTAAGTTTCTTTATATATTAATTTGTATCGTGATATTTTAGATGTATTACATGCTATAAATAGTAATAATATTAATTATTATATAATTCTTCTATCTTTATTTGCTAGTAATAAGCACTAAATACATCAGCTTTAATAGCTATTATGAATTATTTTAGCAAGTCTGATTACTTTATAATATTTACCTGCAATCCAAAATAGCCTAAAATTATTAGAAAGGTAGGATTTCATTAAAGTATTAATAATTATCTAGATTTAGTTACTCACATATTTTATATAAAATTGTTAAAAAATTTATTATTCAACAACTATCTTAATAGAGTTATAACATATATAGTCGTCAGCAACTTCATAATATAATTATATCATGAAGTTGCTAATGACTTAGATTAGGTTATAAAGGTAACTTTATAGTCTGCCAGTGTCTTCATAATATAATGGTAA